TTACAGCAATGACTCCTGTCCCATTTCCCTATCATACCTGGTTTTAAAATTATGAATAGTATTTGCTTCCACAACCTGTTCCTGAAGTGCATTCCATTTTCCCACTACTTTCACGCTAAAAGAAAACTTCCTACCATCTCTGTGACTCATCTGAGTTTCAAGCTTGCATCCATGTCCCCTTGTTCTGTTACTATTCCGTGTGAACATTTCGTCTACGTCCACTCTGTCAATCTCTCTGAGTATTTTATACGTTCCTATCATGTCCCCCCTCTCCCTTCTTCTTTCTAGTGTCGTAAGGCACAGTTCCCTCAGGCGCTCCTCATACCCCATCCCTCGTAGCTCTAGGACGAGTCTCGTTGCAAACCTCTGAACCTTTTCCAGTTTCATTATATGCTTCTTCAGATGGGGACTCCATGATGAGGCGGCATACTCTAAGACTGGCCTCACGTAGGCAGTGTAAAGCGCCCTAAATGCCTCCTTACTTAGGTTTCTGAATGATGTTCTAACTTTTGCCAGTGTAGAGTACGCTGCTGTCGTTATCCTATTTATATGTGCCTCAGGAGATAGATTAGGTGTTACGTCCACATCCAGGTCTCTTTCGCGCGTCGTCACAGGTAGGCTGTTCCCCTTCATTGTGTACTGTCCCTTTGGTCACCTATCTCCTAGTCCCATTTCCATAACTTTACATTTGCTCGTGTTGAATTCCAGTAGCCATTTCTCTGACCATCTCTGCAACCTGTTCAAGTCCTCTTGGAAGATCTTACAATCCTCCAATGTATGTGTGTGTGTGTGTGTGTGTGTGTGTGTGTGTGTGTGTGTGTGTGTGTGTGTGTGTGTGTGTGTGTGTGTGTGCGCGTGTGTGCGTGTGTGTGGTCCACTTCAAGTCCTCAGGCCAGAGACACACAGGTAAATGCTGGTGAATGTTGGAGAGGCAACATACCCAGAGGGACCAGTGGCTGGCTGGAGCGAGGGGTGTACTGGTGTGGTCAGTTTATGCTCATTATTACACACGTTTAAAGAGGGAAATACACTCTTGTGTTATTATGGTGGCGTCTTCGTTGATTCTGTAACCTGAATGAACTTGAATATTTTCACAAGATTTAGAGATATAGGGAACTGACGGCTGAGTGGACAGCACTCGGGATTTGTAGTCATGAGATTCCGGGTTCGATCCCCCGGCGGAGGTGGAAACAAATGTGTAGCGTTTCTTTCGCCCTCATGCCCCTGTTTACCTAGCAGTAAATAGGTACTTGGGAATTAGACAGCTGCTACGGCTTGCTTCCTGGTGGTGTGTAACAAAAAGGAGGCCCGGACGAGGACCGGGCCGCAGGGACGCTAAGCCCCGAAATCATCTCAAGATAACCTCAAGAAGAAGATGTTTTGCTTAAGACAAATGAGAACACACACTAATGAACACCTTTATACACAGACACATTATAAAGAAACTCTTAGAATAATTAACACATTAATTTATCTACGAGCATCTACTTGGGCTGAACGGAAATTTTACTTAAACAACCTATTAGATTTGTTGACCAGACCACACACTAGAAATTGAAGGGACGACGACGTTTCGGTCCGTCCTGGACCATTCTCAATCGACTTGAGAATGGTCCAGGACTGACCGAAACGTCGTCGTCCCTTCAATTTCTAGTGTGTGGTCTGGTCAACATACTTCAGCCACGTTATTGTGACTCATCGCCTGCAACCTATTAGAGTTCTACCTTCTGTACGTCTCCCTATAGTCTATGCTTCGACCCCCCCCAAAAAAAAATAGTTTTTTCAGCTGATGAGTTAAAAAATAATTTTTAGTTATGAGGTTACTCGTCCTTCTCTGTGTTCTCTCACACTTGTCTCAAGTGTAGTTCTCAGACGAAAATTCTCATCGTAGCAGGATGAGGACTAACCAACTCCTTTGTAGAAAATTAGTATTGTCCAGAAATTTATATTGTAAAAATGCATCGCCATGAAAACCCACCGACATTGATATATTTAAACACATTTACTGCCAGCGAGAGCTCCATCACTCTCTCGCTTTTACAGCAAAAAACACATGACAAATGGTGGGTGAAGTGGCGTAAACGGGCGAGCCACGCCCAGGAAGGTGTTGACGACTGCCTGTGTTGGGTTTGTTGTGTGTCTGAAGCTGGACTGACGCAGGAAATGGCTGCTGCGTCACTATTTTGGCGTCCTCGGGTTTAGCAGGTGCTACAAGGGAAGAAGGCGGGGCTAGAGAGCTAGATCTCACTATCCCGTAGTCACTCTTAGATGACCACCGTCTAGCTCAGAGCAGCTCCGGGTGGAGGGTAGTCAGGGAGCAGCCACATCATCCCTACCACCTGCTTGATGGGGTTCTGGGAGTTCTTCTACTCCCCAAGCCCGGCCCGAGGCCAGGCTTGACTTGTGAGACAGTCTTACCAGCGATAGGTGGTGGGTATGGTGGTGGGTATAGGTGGTGATAGGTGGTGGGTATGTGGGCCTGCGGGCCGCTCCAAGCAACAGCCTGGTGGACCAAACTCTCACAAGTCGAGCCTGGCCTCGGGCCGGGCTTTGGGAGTAGAAGAACTCCCAGAACCCCATCAACCAGGTATCAACCGGGTAAGTCCAGCCCAAGTGAAGCTTTTTCGCAGTGATGTTAGTGAGGTAATGACGACGTTACCAACAGTGACTGTCATGACAGTCGTCACTGCAGCACTGAAGGGTGCCAGCGAGGGCTGAGAGCACTCACAATGTTCCCAGCCTGACAGTCACCAGGGCATCCAAGCACCGGATACTGCTGCAGATGTTCAAAGTTCGCGGGCCAAACTGCCTCACAAATGAGGAGCGCCAACAGCCCGGTTGTTTGAGCATACATGTAGAGGGTTTCGGGAGTTCTTCACTACCCTAGCCCGACTTAGGGCCAGGCTCGACCTGTGATAACTTGGTCCAACAGGCTGTTGCTTGGAGCGGCCCGCAGGCCCACATATCCACTACAACCCGGGTTGGTCCGGCATTTCTTGCAAGAACTTGTTAAGTGAATTTTGAAGACATCCACCTTTGTTCCGGCAATATTTATAATGCTTGCTTGCAGTGTATTGAACAGCCGTAGAATCCTCATGTCACCTAACAAGCATTAAGAAACAGGAAACGCACCTAAATAATTCAGCTCCGCCTGGGGTTCGAACCCGGAATTCCTGGTTTTGAGTCGAGACCAAAGCCGATTGTTCTTAATTTTCATATTTTTCTCCAGTTTACACAATGACCTCATGGGCCATCAGGCTCTCTTCTTTCCTATTTTGACATTCCATTTCCCTCCCCAATTCTTATCCCTAGTTATCATTTCCTCTCTCACTGTAGTTGGTCACTGTAGGTGGTCACTGTAGTTGGTCACTGTAGTTGGTCACTGTAGTTGGTCACTGTAGGTGGTCACTGTAGTTGGTCACTGTAGGTGGTCACTGTAGTTGGTCACTGTAGTTGGTCACTGTAGTTGGTCACTGTAGTTGGTCACTGTAGTTGGTCACTGTAGTTGGTCACTGTAGTTGGTCACTGTAGGTGGTCACTGTAGTTGGTCACTGTAGGTGGTCACTGTAGTTGGTCACTGTAGGTGGTCACTGTAGTTGGTCACTGTAGTTGGTCACTGTAGTTGGTCACTGTAGGTGGTCACTGTAGTTGGTCACTGTAGGTGGTCACTGTAGGTGGTCACTGTAGTTGGTCACTGTAGGTGGTCACTGTAGTTGGTCACTGTAGTTGGTCACTGTAGTTGGTCACTGTAGTTGGTCACTGTAGTTGGTCACTGTAGGTGGTGAGAACACTACAGATGGACATATCGGGGGAAAGTGCCAGGCCATTACGACTGTATAGCACTGGGAAGGGGGTCAGGATAAGGATTTGGGATGGGACGGTGTGGGAAGGAATGGTGCCCAGCCACTTGGACGGTCGGGGGATTGAACGTCGACCTGCATGAAGCGAGACCGTCGCTCTACCGTCCAGCCCAAGTGGTTGGGCACCAGAGATCACTACGACTTGTTGCAGGTTATCTTGATGGTTATCTTGAGATGATTTCGGGGCTTTTTTAGTGTCCCCGCGGCCCGGTCCTCGACCAGGCCTCCACCCCTAGGAAGCAGCCCGTGACAGCTGACTAACACCCAGGTACCTATTTTACTGCTAGGTAACAGGGGCATAGGGTGAAAGAAACTCTGCCCATTGTTTCTCGCCGGCGCCTGGGATCGAACCCAGGACCACAGGATCACAAGTCCAGCGTGCTGTCCGCTCGGCCGACCGGCTCCCCTAGTGCAGTAGCACTATTGAGCTAGTTGTTGTTGTTGTTTTAGATTCAGCTACTCAGAACAATCAGTTCCAGTAGCACGGGCTATGGTGAACCCGTAATCCTTGAGCTAGTTTGCTAGTCCGATTGTTATAGTGCTCATTGATGAGGTGGTTGTTAGAGTTATCCCATTATCTCGTGCAATCAAACGAGATAGTTACGATAATCTAACGACTCTCTGATACTCGGAAGGCCTGGTCGGTGACCGGGCCGAGGAGCTGTTGATCCCCGGAAGCAATACAAGGTAGACACACGGTAGGCTCTCCAGGAGGATAAACACAGCAATGTTACTACTCTGGTACTCTGTGATGAGATGGTGAGAGTAGCCTAGGTACCAGGGAACTCTCCGACGAGGCACAAGTCCACTACGGGCTCAACATAGCCCGTGCTACTTGGAACTTTTTCTGTTCCAAGTAGCGAATCTTAAACAACGAGGCAGTAACAGCAGTACTAGCAATTCTTGTACTCTCCGATGAGGTAGTAACTTTCTGGTACTCACCAATGAGGTAGGGAGAGTAGCCTAGTAACCCTTGGTACTTACCGATGAGCTAATGATAGTAGTCTAGCTACCTGTTGTTATAGATTCAGCTACTCGGAACTAGTTCCAAGTAGCACGGGCTATGGTGAGCCCGTAGTGGACTTACCATGCACAGGAGCGGTGCTGAATGACTCTATTTCTAGCTACCCAGGTACTCACCTATAAAGTAGTTAGTGCCGACCTGCAGGTACCTGGCGGAGACGGTGACGACACCCTCAGGTCCACTCTCGCCCACCTGCGACCCTTCCCTTGTGCTACACGAAGCCCACTCCGACACGCTGGCCTGCAAGAGTGTTAACACATCAGTCAACACCGGAAGGCAAACAAAAGTGGATCAAGAGGCTGCAAGATCACTGGTAACCCTTCTTGGGGTTAATATTACTCAGTGAGATGAGGTAAACAATGGGAATGGATCACTTTAGGTAAGTTTATATGTAAACTACTTACCCAATGTTGTTTACCGCATCACGGGCATCATCTGTGAGACTTACAGACTCAGAGAGATAAGGCTGGAGTCGGTTTTAGTAAGCTAGGATATCACTGAGGCTTACAGGTCGCAGAGGATCGCAGAGTGTTGGGGCTGTAAGTATATCTTTGTGTGTGCCGTATCCCCCCCCATGCTATCTCTGGCATATCACTATGCTATCATCCGCATATTGCCATACTAGCATCCACATATCTTCATGCTATCCCTCACGTATCAACCACATATAACCAATGAATCATTCATATATCACCTTACTTTAACACACACATATCGTCATCTTCTCATCCCAAACACCCATATGCCTCTTCCTCACATAATATTCCCAAACCTTTTCTGCACCAATTTCCCACCTGATCATTCCACAACCTATGTCCTCCAATTCTTAAAGCCATCTAGACAAATCAACCCCTTCACGACCCCTTTCACCCCCACAAGAAATCAACAACTTTCTACCTAGAGTCGATCCATTCAACCGCCTAATTTTTCTAATTAATGCACCCCAGTCCCCTATCCACCTTGATCCCAATCATGACTCCTCAAGGTCGAAGGTTAGTATGGGGAAATGCAGTGTGTGAAGGCATAAGCCTAAGAACCTGGAGTACTAATGCTGTTGGACTGACAAATAAAATAAATGAAGTGAAGTAATGAGTTTCAAATACCGACCACAACATTATATCAATAGTAGAACAAAATTGGAAAGATAGCAAATGTAATATTGTCTATGAGTACCAAACAGTAAGGACAGACAAACCCGAGAGAGATGGAGGGATAGTGACTTTTTTAAGAAACATTAGCTCTCAAGAGCTTCTCACTTGTGGTGGTAAACACATTCACTTGATACCTGCTTAACACCTACTTGATGCGGTTCTGGGAGTTCTTCTACTCCCAAGCCGAGCCCGAGGCCAGGCTTGGCTTGTGAGAGCTTGGCCCAACTGGCTGTTGCTTGGAGCGGCCCGCAGGTCCACATACCCACCACAGCCCGGTTGGTCCGGCACATCACTAGCCGTGCCACATGAATACTAACAATGGTAGCTGTAAACGCCACGGTGGCTATAAATTACAATGCCCAGAGATTAACAGGCAACCCGAATAACAGTTCAACAAGACAAAGGGATCTCCAATATCTTAAAAAATAGTGACAGAATCAGTGTGACGGATAAAGCCAAGTTGCAAGTTAAGAAAGACATTAACAACGAAAGATTTTACAGGTCCTATAAGACGAAGAAGAGACACAAAGGACAAGACTAGTAAAGAGAACACACAAAGGGGTAAAGACCAGCTTGGCCAGAATTGGTCTTAACCCGATAAAAAGAGAACATGTAAAATAATGCATGAAGTGTTTCTGCGAGCAAAGGAGCGTTACGGACTGACGCTCGAATGAAATCAAGAAGACCCCCAAGAGCTGGAATCTAGAAGACCCCCTCGGATAATGATAGGATCAAGACATGACAGCTTCCAGAGGGTCCGTGGGCTAAACTGGAGGTGTGCGGAGAGCCTTAAGAAACTTTGATGGTTTTAAAGCTTCAAAAAACAGTTTTATAACATATGGGAGACACGCCATCGGTTACGCAGCCTCTGAACTCCTCCACCTGATGAAAAAACTAGATAAAGTGCAGAGATATGACGCAAGACAGGTCCCGGAAATGAGAGGAATGAGCAACAGAGAAAAAGTCACTGAAGTGAACCCTCACTGTTGCAATAGAGAAGAAGAGACACAAAAGAAACTTCAAAGGTTCAAAGGATGACCGAGAACGCGGACAAATAAATAATATTTGAAATGGTAAATTTATGTAAATTTAATTTCACATGAGTCACAGCCACATCAGCAACGGGTTAAAGGTGATGTTGAAGAAGCAATCTCTATTCGCTGCTTCAACGGCAAATATGATAAATGTGAATGTTTGAAGATGTCAATTGGTTCATTAACCAATTGACAGATGAAAAGAAGAAGCTATGAAGCTTAACCTTAACCAAACAATACAGGAATAACCTCGTAGGGGCCTCGTAGCCTGGTGGATAGCGCGCAGGACTCGTGATTCTGTGGCGCGGGTTCGATTCCCGCACGAGGCAGAAACAAATGGGCAAAGTTTCTTCCACCCTGAATGCCCCTGTTACCTAGCAGTAAATAGGTACCTGGGTGTTAGTCAGCTGTCACGGGCTGCTTCCTGGGGGTGGAGGCCTGGTCGAGGACCGGGCCGTGGGGACACTAAAAAAAAGCCCCGAAATCATCTCAAGATAACCTCAAGATAACCAGTATGTACTCAACTAGGTAAATACATACTGGGTAATACACGGAAAAAGTACAAACACGCAACACTGAGGGAGAAACAGAGAAGTGAAGGACAAGTAATTAGAAGACACACTTATTAACACAGAGTGATAAGAGAGAAGATTAACACAGAGTGATAAGAGAGAAGATTAACACAGAGTGATAAGAGAGAAGATTAACACAGAGTGATAAGAGAGAAGAGACATCAGAGCAACGAGGAGCGCTGCTGGGGTCAGGGGCCAGATTCACGAAAGCACTTACGAACCTGTACATCTTTTCTCAATCTTTAGCGGCTTTGTTTCCAATTATTAAGCAGTTAATGAGCTCCGAAGCACCAGGAGGCTGTTTATAACAATGACAACAGTTGAATGGGAAGTTTTCATGCTTGTAAACTGTTTAATAAATGTAACCAAACCCGTCAAAGATTGAGGAAAGATGTACACGTTCGTAAGTGCTTTCGTGAATCTGGCCCCAGGACGGTCGGTGAGAGACAGAGACACTACGGACCATAACACACACACAACCACTATCACTATAGTGAACTGACGGTCGGCCGAGCGGACAGCACGCTGGACTTGTGATTCTGTGGTTCCGGGTTCGATCCTAGGCGCCGGCGAGAAACAATGGGCAGAGTTTCTTTCATCCTATGCCCCTGTTACGTAGCAGTAAAATAGGTACCTGAGTGTTAGTCAGCTGTCACGGGCTCCTTCCTGGGGGTGCAGGCCTGCTCGAGGACCGGGCCGCGGGGACACTAAAGCCCCGAAAGCATCTCAAGATAACCTCAAGATAGTACTACTAGATAGTATGCCACTGTGTTTGTTTTTTTGCATGCTAGTGTTCTTGTTTGTAAGTATACAAGTTTTTGTCAGACCGTTGAGCACTAATCAGGTATTGGAGACTAACATGAACTATAGTCACGTCCATATTTACAACCCGTGAGCCTTTGTGTTACCTCCTTGGTGACCAAGAAACCGGCTCCAGTTTTATCTAAGTCTGTGTCTCACAGAGGTTGTCTGTGCTCCAGTAAACAGCCAGGTGCAAACAGTCTGTCTGTATATCACCACGTTGATGTGACTGTATTGTGTCTCTTTATATATATACTTACCTGAAGTGATTCTTTCCAATTGTTTACCTCATCATTGTAAGTAATTTCCTTTACGGCCCAAAGAGCCTCGCATTGACTGACACTGCTATCACAATATTCACTCTCGTACTGCTTCACGAATATTCACTTACTGCTTCACGAATGCTTCACTCATACATTGCGTCCAGTGTATGCTTCTCTCATAAGTTTCACTCATACACTGCGTCCAGAACATTCTCTCACGCACTGCTTCTAGAACACTCGCAATGATTCCAGAACATTCACTCATTTACGGCTTCCCAAACAGTCACTCACTGCTTCTAAAACCATCACTCCACTCACTTCTCCCAGAACACTCACTCACTTATTAAAACACTCTTACTCACCCCACAATCTCCTGAACACCCACTCACCAGCCCCACAAAAGGACACATACACACACACACACACACACACACACACACACACACACACACACACACACACACACACACACACACACACACACACACACACACACACTTGCTTGGGAACAACTCCTAACAACATCTGACAGGTTTTTCCCAACGCGACAACCCAAGTTTACAAACTCTTTCTTCTCGTTCTTTACGTCTGTCACAGAGAGAGAGACAGAGAGAGAGAGAGAGAGAGAGAGAGAGAGAGAGGAGAGGGAGAGGGAGAGAGAGAGAGAGAGAGAGAGAGAGAGAGAGAGAGAGAGAGAGAGAGAGAGAGGGAGGGAAGGAAGTGTTAACCTCTCCACCATCTCTCGGGATCTCCCCCAGTTCACTCAATATTCACTCGGCTGATCTGTAGTCCCTCCAGGAAGTGCCAATATATATTTTATATCCGCCAAGTCGAAGTATCGGGGTGGTGACATTTAACATGTGTTCGTACTTTACCCAAACCTCGCTAACGTGAGATTATGAAGTTATCAAATCATCTTGATTAGGGTATTGATTTACCGGTTATTCCTCGGGTATTTTGACCTCGAATTACACACACACACACACGCATTCGCACGTACATACACACACACACACACACACACACACACACACACACACACACACACACACACACACACACACACACACACACACACACACACACACACACACACAACCCGAGTAAATGCAAAGTAATGAAACTAGGCAGTGGAAATAGGAGGCCAGATACAGGATACAGAATAGGAGATGAAGTACTTAATGAAACGAACAGAGAGAAAGATCTAGGAGTTGATATCACACCAAACCTGTCTCCTGAAGCCCACATAAAAAGAATAACGTCTGCGGCATATGCGAGGCTGGCTAACATCAGAACAGCGTTCAGGAACCTGTGTTCCTGAACGCTGAATCATTCCTGTGTTCCTGTTTCGTTCAGGAACCTGTGTTCCTGAATCATTCAGAATCTTGTACACCACATATGTAAGACCAATCCTGGAGT